CCCCCCCCCCTCCTCTTCCTCACCCTCCTCCTCCTCCTCCTCCTCATGTGGACCCTTCCTCCCATGACGACCTGCCAACGCCTCGGCCTCCATCACTCCGGCCGACGTCCATCACTTCCCATCAAGGCGTCCAAAGGGAATTAGTTTTTTATTCCTGGTTTATCCACGACAGTAGTGTTTGTTTGTTTTGACTTAAATGACCCATTTTGGGGTGTAAAGAGGATCTGGATCACAACGTCCAGACAAATACAAGAGCCCGTCCCCACTCCACCATCAGTAGGTTTGTACTCATGAGCTGGACTGGCTGTTAACATGAATCCTTCCTTCAGGGTGGTGTAGCTCACATCCTGACAGCATCATGTACCAGGTTTACACTGTCTGACATGTTCATGGTTATCATGATATCAGTCGTAGAAAGTGACACAAACAGGAATCTTCTGTCTGCTCGAAGGCTTCACAAACTATTTATTGTTTTTGTTATCAGTCGTCTTTCTGTTCGCTCTCCACTTGGAAACACTTTTTAAAAAGTGATGAAATGTTTTGTTCATAATAAAGAGGACGGCCCTCTTTAAGAAGAAAATAAAAAATGTGAACAAATTATAAAGTTGTCTTTTGAGTTTATTTTATTATCCTTCCACCAACTTAATGTGGTGGAGGGGTTTGCTTGTATCAGTGAACCTTGGAGCTGTGTTGTCCGGGGCTAATAGCTCCTGGTAGGGTCTCCCAAGGCAAAGTGATCCTACGGGAGGGGCCAGACTAAGAGCGGTTCAAGAAGACCTTGATGAAACGACACTCGAGGGAAAAGAGTACCTCGCCCGACATGGGGACACTCGGGGAGGGGGGGACTCGCCAACAAGCATCAGGTGGCCAGGCCTAGGGCCATGGGGCCGGGTTCATCCCAAATGAATGACATGGAGCTACCCTGCCCACCACCCACATGGACTCGCATTGGGGCCAGGTGCATTGTGTGCCAGAGAAAGGCAGGGGCGTGGACCCGGGCATGCTGACTCCTGGTG